TCCACTGCTTGTTAAATAGAATTGCATTTTCCCTGGTGCTGCAAAACTTTCCTCTTACTGAGCCCAGTGTTTTGAGAGTCTTGAGGCTCTGAGGGCAGCTCCAGTGTTGTGAGATAGCTGCTGGCTTCCTGTGGGCCAGTGCCATTCTATCACACTCGTTTGTTTACCAAACAGCAGTTGTTCAGGTGCACTCTATGGGCCTTTAGGTATTTGCTATATTAAAGGAGTCCATTTACAAAAATGGCCACTAAGATTTCTTTTTGTTTGTTTTTGTTTTTCCTTTTTCTTTTTCATTACGTTGGAGCTAAAGTTTGATGGCAATGAAAGCTGGCATTCGCTGAGCAATTATCAATTACCAGGTCCTGTGCTAAGTGATTTTATGCATGTCTTGTTTAATCATCATGACAACTTTGTCAGATAATATAACGTTCTTAAAACAGTGTCTGTCACGTAAAAGTCATTAATACTTCTGGGTCAAGGTCTCCTGTGGCTTGACACTTCTGCTCCCATTCCAACCAGCCTTCTGTTTTCTGCAGCAGGATTCCTGAACCAGGGAGTTTGTTTCCTCATCGAGCCCTGAATGAGACACTAGACATCAGGCCTCTCTGTCCAAATCCTTTGCAAAGTGCGAGAGCCTGCTGAGCTCTCTCTTCTCCAAAATACGTCCTCATTTCTTCACTACACATGGATCTTTCTCTTCTGTGTGTTCTTATAGTTCACATTATAACTTGGACTCAGTTTAAAAGATCCTAGAAGGCCAGGTTCTGTACAGTGGATTTGTTTTTCAGTCATCCCCAAAGCCCAGCAGACTGCTGACCGTGGGTAGGGACTTAAAGACATGTTGAATAATGAGGGGTGAAGTTGGGAGGGAGCATGAACATATGTGGAGACAGAAGAGAGGGTGCGTGTATGTCAACACGGGGGACAGTGTCAGGGAAAGGCCCAAAATAACCAAAATCAATAAAACTGAGAGTGTGCTGGTGTTTAAAGGTATATGGTGATCAGTCAACAAGATGCAGGGTTTATTCTGCTATGGCCATGAAGGTAAAAATAGAGTTTCTGATTAAAGAAGCATCACTGAAATTTAAAAAACAAAAATCTAAACTCAAGCAGTGTACCTCAGTGCAGTGGATGCTAATAACCCGATAGTTATCTCTTCTACCTCCTACTGTCTGAGTGCAGCAGAGAAGCCGCTGTGTGGCAAGGTCAGCTCCTCCCACTGGCGCCTCACTTCTAGCAGAGCCAGTGTCACGGTTCTCCCAGAGATCCTGCTCAGGGGCCTTTGTTCCCGACATCTCAGCAGATAACTTTGATCTCCTCACCATCACACAAGCTCCTGTGATTTCCAGTTTAGAAGCTGCCCCTCATTTCTCTGTAAAGAGAAGTCACCAGTTTGGCCTTGAGTGAAGGTGTCATGGGGAAGCATTTCTAACTCTGGGCAACTCCTCTGCCACATGGTCTGGCCATGGCCGTCCTCGTGTTCACACCCCAAGTCCCCTAGTTGAGCAGTCTCTCCACTTGTGCACTCTGCTGTCAATTCCAGGTTTATAACACCGTCAAGCCTAGTGGGGACAGTGCACATGCTTGGCTCATTTAGTGCCACATGCTCCTACAGTGGGGACGCTGCAAAGTGCACCCGCTCGTCCCCTGCTCTCCTTCAGCCTCCCACACAGACCAGAACTCCCCTGCATGGGGCCATTCCACTTGAAGTGCTTGATAAATTTTTTAAAGCAGAGTGGATGAAATGGAACATAATTTCATATCCTATCATAATAAGAAAGACATTTTTTTTTTTTAACCAGTGAATGTACTGCTAATGAAAAGACTGGCCTATGTTTTGTTGTGGTCAAGCAGAACAATGCCCCAGTGCTCAGCCAGATAGACTGTCTCTGAGGGTAAAGGTCTTGTTTTAATTCACATGCTTACAGGATCCAGTCCAGTGCAGTATGTGAAAGCCTCTCAACAAATACTTATAGTGTATTCATTGCATTTAATTATCCTCATGGGTTCTTTTTCAGTGTTGTAGGTTTGTAAGTGTATGTCTTGCAGAATGCTGTGCCCGCTTCCAGACCCTTCCCTTGAGGTCCCGCCTCTGTTGACACTAGACAAATCACTGAACTCACCAGAGCCTAACTTTCTTCAGCTATACAATGATACTTCAAAAAGTTCATGGAAAGATTCATATTATCTTTTAATTCTATTTTTGCACAAACTTTTTGAAATACCCCAGTGTGAGGGAGAAGACATAAATCTCCCAGGTAAAAGAGAATGGCTGTTGTGAGCATCAAATAAAATGCATGGAAGTCAAAACACTGGACTCTGTAAATTATGAAGTGTTGCGGAGATGTAAGAATGCAGACTCGGGCTTAACACCGTTGGGTTTGAATTTCTTCCATGCTTTTTATAACTATATCTCTTTGAGAATGTTTAAGACAATCCCATGGTTCTCAGTTGCCTCATCTATAGAGTAGGGGTGCTGATCCCTGACACGTGGGGTTACTGTGAGGACCAAACGGGATGAGCATGTGGACTGTGCAGCTGAGTGCCCGGCTCAGGGAGCTCTGGAAGGGAATGGTTGTTATGATTCTTGCCCACGCTGCTCTCTCTTATTCTGAGATTGGATGACAGCATTTGACTTCTTTATAAGTTCGTCTTGTGCAGTTTCATACATCTATTAGTTATAAATATTTCAAAAAGCTAAAAGTAAGGTATCACTAAACATTTTATGATTACTCAAAGGTGCATATTATATTTTATGGTAACTTATTTATCATTCATTCATGTTCTCCCAGGCTTCATTACTACTCTCATCTTTTACATTCAAGCTGAATGGGGTAAATATGTCCACGGATGTTACGTGGGAACTGCATCCCCCGCATCCTGTGGTAACTGGTGGCTTCCACCTACATGAGAAGGGAGGAGGAGTTGGGGAATATGACATAAATTAGACATGTTTTCTGGGTCAGGTGAATTTCATTAATTATCTCGGGAACTCTAAGAGATAAACACTATATTTTCCATTTTAAAGTTGGGGAAACTGAAGCTCAGGGTGGTTAGTGACCTCTCCAAAGTCTACCTGTTAGTTAGAAGGAAGATGAGAACTTAGAACCCAGGTCTGCCTAACATCATAAAGCAAAGAACAATAGTTGAACTTCATAAAGAAAGAGGGAATGACAGGGTCACAAAATATGACAGTAGCTGTCAAAGACATTGCCTGCCGGAATATTTGCTAATATCAGAGATTTTGGGGGGAGAAAGCAGAAGAGAAGAAGGTAGGTTGGTAAGATACATTTTTTTTCAAACATAAAACCTTATTTTTAGGAAGGCAGTATCTGAATAGATAGCATTTTGGTCTTTCTTATTAGAAACATTTGGCTCTTTCTCCATAAGTACACTTGCTTATTTACCTGTGCTTTTATAAAGCCTATGCTATGAGCACTTAGCCATCCACATTTAATTCACTTTCTAAAATTTATGGGTCATTTAGTAATGTTTAAGTAAAAAGTGTAAAGGCAAAACATATTTGTAAATAAACTCTTCACTATCCAGATTAAATCTCTTTTTAGTTAACAGGACATCAAAATGGGAACCAACAGATATTGATTCTAGTACCGGTGTTTACAGTGCATCCTATCCAGCCACGAATACATCCACTGCCTAGCGAGAAGAGAAGGCAGGAGGGGATCGGATGGGGAGGAAGGGCAGTGGCCGCCAAGGGTGAAGTGTCCTGTGTCAGGTGCTCTGAGTCAGGCCATCTGCTGCCCTTATCTCACGCACTGTGAGTAAGGTTTTATGATCCTTATTTAGTGAGAACTGAAATTCAGATAAGTCATATAGTGAATTCAAACTCAGGACTATCTATCTGACTTCATATGAGATTGCACCCTTCCAAGAGGAGTCAGGGCTGTTGTATCACTCAATGTTAAAAGATGTTTCTCGTGTGGAAATTTACATCTTGAGTGGGGCACAGATGAATTCATTGTAATAAGGTTTACAAATCTGAGGTGTGTAGAAAGTAATTCACGTATGAATTCTCCCAACATGCTTTAGCACTTTTGGCTTCTAATGGTATAGTTTAGAGAGTTTACTGCTCTCTATATAGATCTCTGAGGAAGCACTTTCTAAGCTAAACAGCCCACTTAATTGAGTTTTAGTTGAAAATAGAATTGTTCCAGATTTCATGTTATAATATAAAGAATAATTAAGGCAAAAAGGCAATCTTTCTGATCTACTTTAAAAGTTACTGTCCACTCCATGAAAGATGAGACAAATTATGTGCTTTAAAAATCTCTCAAAATTGGAGCAAAGAGAATTATTTCTCACCCATTGTACCAGATACTTTTTAGCGCTGTGATGTCTATGAGAGAAGAACTCAGCCAGCTTTATTTATATAACACATTTAAAATGATGAAATAGTGGCACACTGGCAAACAAAAATCAAAACCCAATTGTGTTTTAGCCATTGCAATTCGGTGCATTTAAAAATTGAAAACCATTCTGCATTTTCAAAAGACATTATAATTAGAATGATTGATTTATCAAAATAACCCCAAGGAGAAAATGTTTTATCTTTGTTTTACATAAGTGTGAAAGAAAAAAAACCCACAAAGTATTTAAAAAATGCTTAAAGCCAACTAACTCTGGGTAAGATTAAAATGAATTGTCAGCCACAAAATAAAGACCTGTATTCTATGCAAGTCTATTGAAAACATCTATATGTATATTTATTTATTTATCTGTCTGTTATCTTTATCTTTTTTATTTAAATATTTTTTGAACAAAGCACTAGAATAAAAGCTCAATAAAGGCAAAGATTGTTGTCCATTTTTTCAACTACTCCTAATGAAGTTTTTTTTTTACATATTAGACATTCAACGAATATGCAAAGAATAAGTGAACGAAGAAGAAAAATTCAGTAATCCAAAGGTTGTCATGAACCCATTCAACCTCATAGATCTGACTCGAAATGGAGGGAAATGCTATTGTTTCTTGTCTTTTAGATACACAAAGATGAAGACAGCAACCAACATTTATATATTTAATCTGGCTTTGGCGGATGCTCTAGTTACCACCACCATGCCGTTCCAGAGCACGGTCTACCTGATGAACTCCTGGCCTTTTGGGGATGTGCTGTGCAAGATCGTCATTTCCATTGACTACTACAACATGTTCACCAGCATATTCACCCTGACCATGATGAGCGTGGACCGCTACATTGCCGTGTGCCACCCTGTGAAGGCTCTGGACTTCCGCACACCCTTGAAGGCGAAGATCATCAATATCTGTATCTGGCTCCTGTCATCCTCTGTTGGCATATCCGCCATAGTCCTTGGGGGCACCAAAGTCAGGGAAGGTAAGGGCGGTCATTTTTTTCTCGTTTATAAAAACATAACTTCTAATTGTACAAACTTTTAACTTGGGAGGGAGTAGGACACACATCTAGTGGAAAAGCCAAAAGACAATGGAAAAATTATGCCTAAATCTGTGGAAGATGAGAAATAAGACAATTTTGTGTTCTTTTCCACCTATAAACACAGAATGGGATGATGACAGTACCAGAACACAGATGCCCAGCCTGTCTCCTACTCTGGAAGTACTTAGAAACTGGAGGGGTTGGGATGAAGGAAGGAACAACAGGCACGTGGATTTTCAAAGTACATCATGGTCGTTCCAGGACACAGCTTCTCACACCTTTTCTTTCTCTTTCTAACAAAGGACCTAAATCATTAAGGCATATGCAGGCTCTTTTTTCCTTTCTTCTTAACGATTAATCTTTGCATCACTATCTTAGCAGCTTCATTTGACTGTAGGCCACTCAAAATCAGGTTCATAGATGGATGGTAGTTACAGATGAGCAAAATCATTAGGTTTTAGATATACTAATTCTTGCTCCATGCATACAGGATAATTGACTTTTTTTCTGTATTTCTCACTGTGGAATGCATATTGGAATCGCTTGTGTTTTAGAAAAAATATTCCTGGAGGGTCTGATTGAATTGGGGTGCAGTTTGAGTGTTAAGATTTTTAAGATCTGCCGAGGTGGCTCTGACCTGCTGCCAAGGTGAGAAC